GACATTTTTTATGCTGAGGGTGGTGAAGCACTGGTGCCCAGTGCCCAGAGAGGTGGTGGATGCCCCATCCCTGGAAACATTCCAGGTCAGGGGGCTCTGATCTAGTTGAAGATGTCCCTGCCCACGGCAGGGGGGTTGGATAGATGACCTCAAACATCAAACACTTCTGTGAAAATTTTCACACCATCTTCGTCTAACTCATCTACCCAAACAGACTCCATGGATACAATGGGAGTTCCTGTTTTTATCTCTGTAGGTTTAGCTTTTCTTCACAGATTTATCTCTAAGGTGATGCCCCAGCCTGACCTTAATTTATAATGTTGGAAGGATATTACCAAATACAGTGCTTCTGGTTTAGTCTCTCCTTCGTTACACTCATTGACCAAAACCAGCTGCTCCATCTTTATCTCCTCATTTGTACAGCATCACTCACTGTAGTTGGTGCCATCAGAAAGTTCAGGTAACTGGAAGAGGAATTTGCAGATCTTTTGATATGACCCCCCCAGAAAAAAACCCCACATATTTGCACTAGACTCATTTCTTAGGAGCAATAACTCAGCATGAGTTAAAAACGCCACCCCTACTGCGTAGCATTATCATTTACGCAATGTTATATGCTAGTACAGTACTGTAAGCAAAGTAAATTCTCCAGACAAGATGTTTTTTCCCTAAGAAACCTGCAATGCAGAAGCCTGTCTCCACATCAGTTACACTACGCATGAAATCGTCCTGCGGTGCCTTGCTAAACTGTAGTAGTTTCTGCATCTAAAACATTTTCACAGATGTATTACACCTCAATTGCAGATCCCCATTTTATTCTGGTGCCAGGAAGTCAAACTGAAGGACGGGGAGAAGAGGAGTTCTCAAACCACAGTATGTGCTTGAAGTTATTTTGCTTGCCATTCTTTTACCTCTCGGTCACAGATCAGAAGAGAAAGATGTATTTTTTAAGCTGCAATTTTAACATGATAAACTATGGACAATATCTCTAGTGAAAGCATTATTTGGGAAAGCTTTTGCACAACGACATTTATTGGCATAAATGAGGGCTTTTGGTATAACGCTACGCAAATGCTCTAGAGAAAGCATCCGAAAGTTTCAAAAGTTGTATGCTGGCTGGTCATCAGCGATACCTAGCGAGAATGCCAGCTGGTACTGAGGGTTAAACCTTTCAATGGCATGGAGGTTTAACCCCTTGCTCTGCTAAGCGGATTCACAGGAAAGCACACCGTGCTCAGAAGTCTTACCAGAAAAACGATCTATTCAAAATGCTATTTTAGAGCAGCTACCCAGTGGCTTTGGGATTGTTATGATGAGGTACCGTAGATTCATGCCTCAGGCACTCTATCCTACCAATCTAAGTATCCAAGAAGGACCTTTCCTTACCCTCTGGGGAAATGGTGTGGCTTGCAGTGCTATTAAGTATCTTCTAGCAATTGGCTTTAGTGTAGTATTGCAGCCCTAAAAGCGAGTCTTCTTTACATTATGCTCTCAGCACTGAACGAATAAGCAGTTGCTTCACAGGACTTAAGTTTATAAAACATTAGATTGAAATGTCAAAGGTAACCCTGGAGGGCAAGAAGGCCCCAGGATGGCACAGCCGGGATACACCAGTTTCTGCAGCTCTCAGCGTACACTTGGATATCTACAGCTCAAATCAGCTGGTATTTATTTAGAATAACATCAGTTAAAGGGCCCCTCAGCGAGAGTCAGCTATGACACTTACACCCTATGCTTCTGATTCCTCAGTGAAACACCTCAATTGCTCTTTCATCCTGTCCTTTTATTCTGGGTTGTTAAACCTTGCTATCCTTTCAGTCAACTGGCTTGAAAGGAGTTATTATTCCAGAATGTTTTTATGGCTTGGGGAGATTTTAAATGAAGAGCATTTTACTGCCATCATGGCTAGTGTGGCTGAAGTTGTTCTGTTCATATTTAAATATATTAGGTTTTCATTACTGTTGAAAAAAATGTTTGCAGAGAAACCGTGAGTTTAGGTGCTATAAATCAACAAACGCCCTAAATATCAGTGCAAAAGTTTCAGAGCAAAAAGCACACAGGTGTTCTCAGAGGTCTTGTAGGAATAGCTGTCACCTGGTTGCTGCACTCCGTTGCATGACTTTGTTTTTTTAATCTTGTGATTAGTGTCAACATCTGTGGATTCAAGAGAAATGTTGGAAGTCATTCAAAATCATGAGGCATTACTGGATGATCTTCAAAGTGATATTCATCAAGCAGTCAGCAACTTAGGTGACTTACAGAGAATATTTGAAAACAACGGTACAAGCATGGTGTTAGAAGTGAACCAGAGCAATTCAGGTGAGAGGTCTGACGCAGAATTATCAGCCTGCCAATAGGCCCTCTGAAACCACGCAGATCAGAAAGAAAAACTGGAAACAAAAATACCCTGATATTCCTTGGTCTGCTGGTTTCTAAAGAGAGCAAAACCAGATGCAATTCCAACACAAATGAATGAACCAAATTCAGAAGTAACTTGAAATAGGAAATGAGATGAAAGGCAGATTCCTTTGCGCTTCTCTGGAATTTCAGAATATGCCTTAAGCACAGAATGAAGAGGTCGCTTATACTTAAAATTTGTTAGCTTACTATTCTGCTTCTATGGCTTCTTCTCTTCTATGGGCATGCAGAATTTAGGTTTGGTTTTTGGTCTTTTTTCATACTCATGCTATATACTCTGATGTGCGGAATATCAGACTGGTGTATGTAAAAAAAAAAAGTAACATGCAACCCTTCTCTGGAACATTATTCCTGACATACACAGGAGTGGGGAAAAAAAGAACTACCAAATTTGACCTACTACTGTGAGCCATTGGCTCGCAGAAACATTTTCTAATGATACAGACTATTGTCCTCAGTGAACTTCAAGGCACTCAAGTTTGAACATTAAAGTTAGAAATCAAGCCTTAGTATAATTCATACCTAGTACAGATACTTCACATATTTTTCAAGTTATTTAGTCCTGGCCTGGAATATTCAGCTGTTAAGATGCTGTATAACTTTGTGAAGTAGAAGGTGCATTGTAGAAAGCATCAGAAAAAGAACAATATTATGAGACAGTCAAATAAGCAAGAGCCCACCAGCTAAGAACTGTTATGAAAATGGGCAGTTACAGCCACTTACAAAACTGCTTGTCCAGGGGTTTCAAAATGCAGTATTTTTATGACTTAAATGGGGCAGTCAATACATATCTAAGTTATTGTCTGCAGACTCAAAGGCACAATGTGCTTCACAGTAACCTTGATTTAAAATTAGGCTATTTTTGCAATTGTCAATTTATCATGTGGTCAGACTTTGGGGAGTAAGATGGCAGTTACTATAGAAAAATACATACTTGAGTTACCCTGGCCAGATTAAGATGTGTTCCAAAAGCAGGATTTAAATTTAATTAAATTAATTTTTTTAAACTGTGTTAACAGATCTACAGGAAAGGCTTCTGCAGCAAGTTTTGTTTCCCCATGTGGAGAATTTTCTAAGGAAACATTTTAACCCAATGTGGGCAAGCTTCAACAGAAGCTTACAGAACCTCTCGAACATGGTAAGAAACCTGTCCCGTGATGTGGAAGCCAACAAGAAAAGCATAGAAAGATTCCAAGAGAGCACTGTGCCCAAGAAGGAATTCCAGGAGCTGGGAACTAAGTTTGAATCAAAAGTCCAAGAAAACGTGGTGAAAGTTGATCAGGTGAAAAGAGATATAGAGAAGCAATTGCAAATGCAGCAGGCTAGTATTCACTATAATCTCACCGCGATCAAGGCAGATACTGACACAAAGCTCAAGAAGTTTCATAAGATACAGCAGTCCCATTTCTTAGCCTTGAACAACAGCATAGCAAACATGAAACAAGAGCAAAACAATCTTGAAAATAAATTTGAGACTTTGAAAAAAAATTTAACAGAACTCTCTTCACATCATGGTCCCAAAGATGAAAATACCCAGTTAACCATCAGACAAATAAACGACATTCTGGCAGGGCATGCAAAGCAGCTTAAAGAACTTTACATGGAGTCAGATGTGGCCTTTCAGAATATTGCAGTTTTAGAGAGGTGGTTTAAGGAGTTGAAAAAAAATATCTCAAAGTATAGGCCAGAAGATCTTACAATAACTTTAATGGAGAAATCACTTATTATGGAAGAAAACAAAGCAGCAATGGAAAGGCAGATATCAGAGCTCAACTACACTCTCTCAAATCTTCGGGAAAACTATTCAGATCTGTTGAGGTACATGGAGGAATGTAATTGCCAGAGAATATCTTCTGACACTGATGTACTGGAGGAAGATTTAAAGAATATCACTTATTCCCTTGAAGGCACCCAATCAAACTTAAAGGATATGAAGCACTTAGAGTCAGTTTTCAGAGATCTCTTGAGGAATGAAATTGAAGAGCTCTCCTCAGCTTTTCCATCTATCCATCAGTCCCTTAATCTCCGTCAAGAAGAAAATAGGCAGCTTCAGTCACAAGTTATGGTTTTTTCAGAAGACATAGGCTTCTTGAAGAAGAAAGATGAAGAAATTCATCGACACATCAAGTACCTCAACAGTTCTTTTGGCTCTCTTTTGGAAGATGCCATGCGGCACGAAGCAGCACTGGAGGCTTTACTGGGAGAAGAATTTATGGAAGTGTTGTTTGAAGAAGATCCTAGTATTCTAATATCATCAGTATTTCAGCTGCAAGAGTCTTTCAGACATATCTCAGATAAACTCCAAGAACAAAATGTGACTTTAGAATCTCTTATAAAGAGATTTCATCTCTTGGAGAGAGGTCAACAGAATAATCATGATGCTCGTACATCTCCTAAGCATCCCAAAGAAGAAACACAAACATCCTCTACTCTAGATGACGTTAGTAGTCAACGCAGCATAGTAGAACATATGGAACCTAACTATGAGGCTGCCAAAGATGACTCCTTGGATAGCTCAGCTTACAATGATATCATGACTCTGAAGAATGATATCAAACACCTGAGCCTGGCAATCAAGAGGCATGAATCCAGAAGTAACATGAATCTCTGCTGCAATCATACAATAGCAAATGCAATTGAGCCACTCAACATTTCTGTGGAAATTCTCTCAGCAGATTTAGTAACCATCAAGCGGAAGCTGGAGGAACACCTGCTGATTTTTAAAAAGCTATTTGGAAGCAATGAAGAATTAGCTGCCTCAAATATAAGTCTGGATGTTACAAAGATTCAGTCAATGCTGACCAGAAAAGTGAGAAGGCAACAGAAAGGTCAAGACAAGCAAAGAGACAAGAAAAAGCCTGAGAAGCACAGAGAAAATATGCAAATGATAAGCGGAAGAAATACGGTGCAGACAGAACTTTTGGAAAAAGGTGGGTTCTTTTCTTTTACTTGCTCACGTGCAGGTCTAGCTTCTTTCTGGGCCCTGCTTTAAGTTCCACACACACAGCATGTTAGTTGCGAGACCTGTCAGATCTTGTGGGATGCTGGAGGGAGAAATTCTGACATTATTTACATCCTCCCCCTCCATCAAAATAAGCAGTTTGAGTGAGAATCAAATTGATACACTGCTGCATTTTGCTCGAGGCCAATAAAATTACACCCATTATAGCTGCTGGGAAATTGGCCTTAAACTAATTCAACTTCAGATGTTTAGAACACAAATTTTGTTTGTAGATGCTCATGTTCACGTAGTAGCAGTTTCCTCTTCTGAAGCTGATGGGGAGTGCTAGGCTTCCTGGTCTTGCTTCTTTTTCCTCTGTTATTTGAGTCTGGAAGGAGTGTACTCAAAGCATCAAACCCTTCCTAACGTGGACAGATATGTTAAATGAACTGCTGTAACTCGCACAAGTGGAACAGGGAGGACTGACCAGAGAGTACACGCTCTCTCTTACGGCTAAGCTTCAGAGACAAGTTTTCAGCTTATTCTTCACTGTGACTGGCCAGTTCCCTTTCCCTGTAAACATGTGGCCATAAGCACCTGGTAATTACAACCACCACAGCTTTAGCACCGGCTTTTATGATTGTAGCCCTTGTTATGGACATATAACATAGAGCAAAAATCAGCCCCTTTAGGCATCTGTGCTGCAAAACTGCAGTTAAGACTGAATAAGCAGAGAATGTATTTCAAACTAATTTATTTTTAGGATAGCAAAAAAGTGCTTTTTTTTTTTTTCCCCGGGTGGCCTCAGCCTTATGCTTTTCCAACACTATCGGTTCAGATATTTCCAGGGAACCATTTGATCTAATCCCAGGCACATACCCATTTCAAGCATTTAGTTCTACAAAGGAGCATACAGAAATGAGGCCCGATAGGGCTTCACCCTACCTCCCACCCTGATGATCCTGGGGGGAGAAGAGTGCTCACTGCTGAAGTCCTGTTCCTCTTTCTTTTTCAGACTCATTGGTGGCATTCCATGTGGGATTCTCAGAAGGAAAGGATAAAGAAAAAACTCTGAGGTTTAATGAAACTTATCTCAATTATGGAAACAGCTATTTCCCTGAACATGGCTACTTTAAAGCACCGCATAAAGGCGTCTACCTGTTTGTCATCTCTGTGGAGTTTAGTTCAGGACCAGCATTAGGACAACTCTCCTTTAGCCGTGGGTACAAAAAAACTCTCTCAAGTAGTCAGAGGAAAACACCAAATGGAAACACCATGACTACTTTTGCTATGGCAGAAATGGAGAAGGGGGAGAAAGTATGCTTTGAATTGCTGCAGGGCTCTGTAGTGAAACGGAGTCCACCTGGGACAACAATGGGTGGATTCTTAATATTTAAAACTTGAATAGTGACATTTTGTTTTGTTGATATCTTTCCATAGATGCAATGGATCAATTCACTATTGCTTCATCTGTGATGTATTCAATCCTACTGCATGTGTTTAAACATAGCACTACCCTAGATTTGTCTTCATGCTTCTTTTCTGGAAGTGTTTGGCTTTTGATTAGTTGCTTATGAGCAGCAATGGTATTTTCTTTCAAGCGGTGAGCTAATGGTTTGGAGTCCAAATGTATCAGCACACACATTCCCAAACTCTTCCACTGTGAGAATTGCACCTAATTAGAAAAAATGTTTTGTGGGACTTTCTTCACTTAGAACACAAAATTTCTCCTTTCCCATGGCAAATACCCCCACCACTGGCAAGGAAAAGATTTTAGGAAGGACTGTATATATCAACTCTCATATTTTGTGAATAGTAGCTTAAAACCAAGCAGCCAGGACAATTTTACCTTTTAGTTCTCTGTAGACCACAGGCAGTCACAGACTGTCTTGGAAACTTCCGCAACCCAACTCCAATTCAATGTTTCAGTCTGTGCACAACATGAACACGAGAAGAGATCGATCAAACCCAGTAAGATGCACCCTACGCAAGTATTCCTCAGCAAGGATCTTAGAAATGGCCCGGTCTTTTTGCTTCTGGGCCTGTGTTGTATTTCAACTACACTGCAAAAATTTAGGAGTAACATAACATTGTTAACGTAAATTACATCTACATTTAGACATCAGGAAAATGTCAACAATATTCAAAAAATATCGGTGAAAATGCAGTTTATTTCTAAAGATAATCCTGAAGAATATCGTGAATTCAGCCCAGAGTTCAGCATTTAGTAAACAGTTTAAAACCAAGCAAGCAAGCAAATAAAAATAACAGCAAAAAGGAGAGCTCATTGGTCTGCTGTCATTGTTGGACATAAAATAAATTTGTAATTAGAGTAAACCAAAAAGTAGAAATTCTGAACTGTGGCCTTTTTTGAATTTCCAAAATCTCAAGATGACCACGTCTGGTCATGTCCTAAACTTTTCTTCTGTCAAATAAAAATATCCCAAAGGCTTTCATTTCAAAGAAGTTCAATTATTGTAGTATTTTTCCTTGTCTATCCTAATGCCTTACAAAACAGTATTAAAACAATTACATTTACCAAAAATGAAATGCATTTAGAAATTCCCAATATTTAGGATGAAAGAGGTAAATTCTTATTATGTATTTTATGCCCTTTTAAGGTAGCATTTTCTAACAAATCTATCCTGCTGTTAAGGGGTTTTCTCCCCACCCACTTGTATTCTAAGCAACACTAAACTAAAAAATTATTAAAAACCACATCGGTACCAATACACATTGCACTTAAGACAACAGTTTGACAAGCAGACAATATGTACCTTTTGAAATAAAGCTACAAATCAGTTTTGGCTACTGACTTGCTGAGAAGGTTGTTCTTCTCCATCCCAAAAAATCCAACAAAGCAAATGACTAAAAATGATCTCCCATCTACTCCTAGCCAATGCCGATTTTCACAGGAGATTAACGGGCCAAGCCTCCCCATTTATCTAGCACGGAGCCACATCTTGCACTGCTCTGCGGCAGGCAGTACAAAGCGCCCGCAAGCTCAGCGTCATTTTCTGTCCCACAGATTGCTCAAATATCTGAGGGAAGGAAGAGGAGAAAAATTTGAAGAGGTGCAATGTCAAACAGGAAGAAAAGCATCAAATTGTAAGATTGGGTTCTTTCGGTACAAAGCTGCTGTCCTGTAGTGACCCAGACGTTTTTACCGGTGCTCCTCCAATTATGGGCTTTTGTGGTGGCAGCGTTCTGCAGGGCCAAGCCAAGCGTGCTGCCCAGGTCTGGGTAGCTCAGGGAACACCCCATCTTCGGTGCACACCAATTCTGCAGCTACCAGCTAAGTTCCACAATTAAATACAGACAGGGGATATATATATTTAAAACCACTTCGCTTGTTTTTAAAGCTTTGACAGAAAGCTTCAGCTGGAACAAAAACCATACAGCTACTTGGAAAAGGACATGGCAGGTAGTAGATAGGATAGCAGCTCATCCAGACAGGACTTTTAAAGGTTTGGCATCCTTGTGCTTACCAGAGTTTACTTTTGTTGAAGAATAAACCAGGCAAGTTCACAGATCATCCAGAGTGAACACAATGTTAATATAAAGATGTTTTCATATTTGTATTCTTCAAATATGTGCTTAAGTTAGCCACCTGCATATACAAAGAAGACATGCTTGACTGGAACACACTCATTTTTAGACTATGACGCAAAAAAATAACAAAAGATAATGGATTAAAACATTCTATTGGCTGCATAAGCCAGGACGCCTGACTTGCTTCTCAGGTGACACGAGAAAAGATGATTAAGCTACTGGGTTGTGTTGTGGATTTTTTTTTTTTTAAAATGAATACATTAGCTTTTTAATAAACTTGCATCTAAACCACCTCTCAAGTACAAGCAAACTATTTTACTGCTGGTATAAATTTCTCTAACCACCCCACCCCCAAACACTTGTTTTGTTGCTCATGTTTTTTTGGGGGGTTGGTTTGTTGGTTATTTTGTAAGATTAACACAGCCCCATCACCATGACCTGCATTTTTAGGCAACAGACTACTGAAGGAAACCATTTTAATGAAGAGACAGCAGACTCCAGATTAGGACCTAAAGGAAAGAAAAATTTGGCACAAAAATGGCAAGAGGACAAGGATGATTAATTGACAATTTTAAAAAAATAGCTATTGGTTGGCTCAGTGGATTAAGAATAGGGGATTTTCAAACATGAAAAACAAACTGAAGCTGACCGTAGGCATTAGGAAAATAGAGTTGTCTGCAAGAACAGACAAGTTGCCTCAGTTTATCTCATAGCAGACCACCTAGACCAGCATGCCTGATGGCAGTTTCAGCCAAGCACCAATAGGCACAGAAACATGTATGCTCACTCCAAGGTATAGATGTATACATCTCGTCAACCTGAGCCTCATATTTAAAAAAAAAAAGCTTCCAACTTCTCTTAGTACTTCCCAGAAGTCCGGTAACTGCCAGAAAATGTTGCCGATAGCTCAGGTTTCTGGATTTCCAGATCAAACCACTAAGCTTTATAAAATTATAAAAAAGCTGTGCATCTTAATGCCTTCGCATAATTATTTTGTTACTGAAACTTTTACTGCTTTATGAATGTCGGTATCTTATAGTGCTTTACATTTTAAAATTAAAGTCTCCTAATTTTTTTTCTTTTCCGTTACTAAGAAGATCTCCTTACTTTACTCAAAATGCAAGTACCCATTGTATATCAACAGTTTTACTTTCTATAGATCCATCAGTGCCTGAATTCTGCAACCAGATTCATCTGAACCCATTTCAGATATCCACATCAAGCCAGTCTCTGAAGCCCATGGTGGTCACCCCTCATGAACCAGATTCACAAGGTGGTCAACCCACAGCAGTGGTTCTCTCAAGACTCAGATTCACAGCTGGTATTGACATTAACATCACTTTGGGGAGAGGTGAAGATAAAGCCGCAGAAGGGATTAATGATATTAATGGAATTAAATCTGGTCCTTTATGAAATTAGTGATACTTCTGCAATTTATTTAATTCACCAACTACTCAGTATGCTTTTTGGCTTGCACACAAAATATACACGTGGGGTTTTCAGACACGTCACTGGATACGGCCATTTCAGTTCTTAAATACTGATGCAAGCTCATCGTAACACATTTTTATATAGAAGTCAAAAATAATCATAGATAAACATTTTGATATTTATTATTAGCAAGCAGTAGAATTTATTTTCATTTATCAAAACCCCCCAACTTTTTCAAAAGGATCTTCGTATCTTTAGGATATAGCACCATCCGGTGGTCATTTCAAGAAGCAACATTAGGGGAAAAAAATTAAGTGCTTGTCAAAACAACGACTGGCACAAAAAGCTTCAGTTACCCGAGGTATTTTCATTATGTCCTCCTGTAACACTAATATAAGAATCCCAGTTTTCAATCCAACCACGATCAGTGTAATCAGTGAAGATATTCCACAAACTACACAATAGCCACAACCATAAGAAAAAGTTTACTTTGCCAAGATACTAATCGTAAGGAGACCAAATCTTTGTGCAGCACAATTTCCTGGTATTACGTATTGAGGGGAAAAAAAAGGTTTAAAACTACATACAGTCTAGTCTTCCACTGTACTTTCCAGAACTCTAATGCAAAAATTTAACACCTGACTTTCCAGGAAAGAAAAAGTGTTATAATTATAATATACTGATAACAGTTTACATGATGCTTAGATATCAAAACTTTCTAGCTACTGTAAAAAAAGCCTGTCTTTAAAGCTAAGATTATTCCTGATCAAAGGCAGAAAGAGAACAGAAATTGATCTTACTTCTTCCTGCTTGCAAACTAAAAGTGAACTCTATGGAGAGTAGTAGCTGATACACTTCTGCAATGAGAAAATAAATTCTGAGATTTTTATAGAATTGTGTACTCACAGATGAGATATCCCCTTGACGGTCTTCATTTGCTTGAACCATAAAAAACAGAGTGAACTTAGCAGGCTATACAGAAGCACCTGCATAATTTTGTAACCAACAGCACGTAAGTATATTAGCTCAAATCTCTTAATTTGGGTATCACTACACAAAAAGAGTGCTGTACACAGAGGGAACAAAAACCAATTACAGAATCCCCCATCCTTTTTTTTTCCCCTCTTCTTACTTGAAGAGCTTAAGGCAAATTTATATGGATAAAACCAACATGTAGTGAACTTGCATATGCTCAAATAAAAAGTTATTCAATTTTGACTTGCTTCTGGCTTTGCTATAAGACAGGGATAAAAATCAGGAGAAGGTAACATTGGTTTTACTGTTGTGTCCAAATTTAGTCTCAAGGAACACAGAGCCTGAACTTATAGAGCACCAAATAATTCTGAACACCATCGAACAATAAAAGTGATCATTAACAACTTATTCGAAGACTCTGGGGAGAAAAGAAAACAAACGAGGTATTAAAAAGTAGGGAATTATTTAGTTACAGTATTATGATTTCCAAGTCATTACATTTTTAAGGCAAAATCTTATAGTAACAAAACACATAACTAATGTGTACTAAAATAAGGTTATTTACTTAAAAATGATACATTGGACATAATCTGTGTACAGAACAAGCAATTCATGGTAAACTCAATAAGGCACCTTCTAAAGCAGATGCTGTACAAAATACATTAGTGTGTTACATTTTTAAAGGAGTATTCTACACTTCTGGCATATAACACACACAAGAGTGTGACCATTTGTCTTGTTCCACTCTTCTTTCATATTTTATTTACATCTTCTCTAGGTTAACTACAATGTTATTTATTTTTCTTGTATACAATATAGTACATTTCATTTTGGGCATGGCATGTCAGAGCACAAATGTCACTACCTGATGTGGGCTTCTATAATTGCATTCAAAGGTAAAATATTACAAAGCAACAATTACATGAGATTTGTTCAAAAATTGGAAGTAATGTGCACTCCACTTCTGCTATACCAACCAAGGCTAATACACCGTGGCTGCATAAAGGACTGTATCGTGCAACATTGCCAGCCATTTTTAGACATCACCCCTATTTGGAATAAAGATTGTGGGCGCCGGATAAAGACTTTTGACTTCAGAGGCGCTGTCAGAAGAATGAGGAAGTGCTAAATCATTCTAATATTTGACAGAAGATGAGCACGTAACTTCCCTTTAAAAATATCTGCAATAGCCAAAGAATGTTTTTTAACTTAGTATCTTTGCTTTTCAAACATTTTAGACCCTTAAAATACAGTCTGAAGGTAGAGTACATGAAACGTATCCAACTGATTTGTTTTATAAACACATTCAAATGGTCATGTAGATCAAGATCTAAAATTTGATTCTAGACTACTACAGAGGTAACTTAAAATATTAATTTTACATTTTATTCAATACCTCAAAATAGACTAATTAAGAAAATAATTGGGGAAAAGTGATGAATATTGGGAAAACTGTCAGTTTCTTGAGTAAAACTCAGGAAAAATTACACATTGAGTAAAACTCGGAATAAACTCAAAATGTAAGCCTACATTTTTCTGTAGGAGTATCACGTTTCTTGTGGAATTTACAAGTTAACCAGGAACATGGAAACTTTCCTTTCAGTTGCTGTAACAGTAAGAATTATATAAGTGACTCAAATTATTTTCCAACTAACTGAAATCACATGGAGCAGGTCATATAAATAAAAAAAAAAATCCCTCCGTATGTGAGTGTTTAAGAACTTCCAAGGCACAGTCTTGATACTCCCCAAGATATTTTCCACAGTTCTGATTTTTATATTTTAAAAAAAGAATTAAAACCACATTTGCCAGTTTTGGGGGCTTTTTTTTTTTGGACTGTCAGATTGTCTTAAAATTTTGAGCAACAAAATGAGATTAATCACACTCTAACAGAAGAATCCTACTACCTTCCCTGACCTTAAAGGCTTCTGAACCTTACAGTTTTGCATAAAGCAACAACTTAGCTTTAGAATCTGCACTAAGTGTGCTTAATTATGTAAAAATTAATGGGCTAGCTTTGAGCAAAGTTTTTTTTTTCCAAGTGATTGCTAAAATATCTGTATAGACATACTTAGGCTCCAAACAGTGAATGACTGCATGGAATGTAGATATGTGCTCAAGTGCTTTATGCAACCAGGTCCTTTAGCAATAACATTTTTTTGGAATATCAGGGAATCAAGGAATGCTAAAGACCTAGGAGCTCCTGTTCAGGACAATGACAACTGCATATCCATGGTATCTTTGAGTATGAACCTAGTAACTGAAGTGCTGAAAAATTAAGGTTAAGCTTAAGGGGAAAAGATTTTTTCTCTCTCAAAGATCATCTTTGCAGCAGTCAGCTCACTTCTGTGTTTAAGTGAATGTGTATATCCATTCAGGTCTTAAGATGTCTACCAAAGATCACCATCCTATTGCCTTGCAAATGCCTAAACAATGGAGGAGAAAATAAGTGAATAATTAAAAACTATTGAAATTCACACTTCCAGCAATGGCTTCCTGAAGACTTGGGAAAAATGAATTTAAAAATTCACAAAAGAAGTTTACAGCTAATAATACTGTGTCTACTTCTAAAAGAAATAAAATATATTCTAAATAGTAATGGGTGAATTTAAATAGCCCTCCATGCTCTGAAATTTTAAGCTAGCAGGGAACTTACATAAACATTTTTTCTTCTTATTGATAATAATCCAAGAGAAGGAAAAAAAGCTTATCCCTTAATTTTTTTGGCTCATACCAAATATTTTCCAACTACCTGTGCAAAAATTATGCGCGAAGACATGATTAACAATTTCAAACTCATCATATATTTCTTGGCAATGGACGGAGAAATGTTCTTTTAAAAAGCCCTTTTTCATGAGGATTGTGGCACAGTATCATATATCTCTTGCTGTTTTCAAATAAGTTAAAATCATAGTTGACACACCTATGAACTTTTCAGCCAGAATACATATTAATACTTAAAGGCATTACTGAACAAAAGTAATGACTTTATTTAAAAAAAAAAAAGAGTCCCTCGAAATAGCTAGTTTTCTATAAAATATGTAGAACTGTTAAATAAAGTCTGTACATCACAATAGAAAATAAAAATACTGCGATCTTTTGCCTGACCATTTACATTATGTGAACTACAGAATTAGAACAAAAAAATAACGTTAGAAGGTTGTAATTGTTCACAAATCACATTAGTTCTGCATTACATTGTTTTCTATCAGTTGTATTTGCAAGGGAAATTTAAAGGCATATTAAAACAATCTCCATGTACATATTTTAAGACAACAAATAATCTGGCATAAATCAATCTGAAGTTTTAACATTTTTTCATCAATTTTAATATTATTCCTAACTTTTTTCTTCAAATCTCGACTATGGCGTGTGTGTGTGTGTGTGCATGTATCTAATTGTACACACGTACCTAGGACTAGGTGGGTTTTTTTACTGAAGCACAAAACACACTGTATAAATAACTTCCCTTTTTAAAGTTATCTAGAACAAGATTTACAGTACAAAGTTATAGGCACTTAAATTATCAAATAGGTTCAATGGTTCCAATACTGTGTGTTCATTCTTCTGATGACTGACACATTTGAAGCTTCAACTTGCTTTATGGTACTATTTTCTAACTTCAAAGTAGAAGTGCCAAAGGAGTTATAAATCAGTAATTCTGCCTTACAGTAACCTCATGGAGGGGTTCTGGTTTTTAACCAACTTGTCTGGATCAGTGAAGAAAAGGAGGGAACTACAGTTTCCTGTGCACGCCAAATAGTTGGCACAATAGGACCAAATTTTGCAATTATGTTAACTTACTTTATCTTCATGAATTACCTTTCAATCACATTCCTCCCAAATGTGCCTAACTAGAACTTAAAACACCCACTGATTTACCTTGTCTCAAATCTTGAATTTTGTAACTGTCCACTAAGTGGCCCACAGACGTGGCCTCCTGCATTTACATCAGGGCAACCCAGCTCAAAACGTTCTGCACGTTGTGGATCTTATCTTCAAGAGTTCACATACTTGGTTCTCCTGGTCTTGACCTTTACTGGATTCTCTAACCTTCTGAGTGCCCGGCCTGCGCTTCCTGCCTTCCCTCTTTTGTGTCTGTAAATTAGACTCGTTCTCAAGCCTTTCAAAACTCATCTTCTGCCTAGTTTTTTGTCAAATGATGAAAAAGCGTGCTCCTACAGCTGACTGATTCCCTCCTGTATGGAAAGAAGTTCAGAGCATGACAGACACCTACCAGTGAGTCTCAATAAAGTAGAAAGGCAAAACACATCATCAATGGTCTTTCTATTAAGATGTAAAGTATTCTACAGCAAAAATGCTGGTTGCATGTGGCATTGTGAAAAATATGCCAAATTTCATAGTCATCCAATTATGGAGCCCACTAGACTGTAAGTGAGGTGACCAAGGCAGTCTATACCTCTAAGAGAGACTGTTTCAAGCTCTCTACAGACTCAGGTAGGCATTCCTTAATTTATTAATGGTTCACATTTTTGCAGTTCTCCTTGTGACCAAGACAAGAATAGAAATAAAATTAAAACTGAAATTCTGGAAGATAACTTAATGGCAAGGAGTAAATTCTGTAGCAAATCTGATTGTGGAGCCACAAAATGCATGGAGCCCTGACCATAAAACTTTGTTCATTTAAATGGTTTCTTAGCTATTCCAAATGACAGCAAAATAATCCTGGCACACACATAAAGGCATAAGGAATTGTTAAACTGAGTAGTATCACAAACAGATTCATAACATACAGGCTGTTTCACAAAAACTTGGTATGGATTGACTAGGTTTTATCAGGTAGAAGGCAAAAAAAAGCTTATATTCTCCATCTCTGTTGAATCCATATAGCTTGTTAGGCTTTCACAGAAAGCACTGTAATCTGAACATTCAATTCAGTACCCAGAGTTTTACTGGAGACTCACTAAGTATGACTGAAGTCTCAATGCAGCTCAAACAAAACCAAAATGTGTATTTTATCAAGGCTGTCCATATACGTAGCATGTAGTATATAGAGGCTCTCAGTATCACAGTCTATGAAGTACTGAAAGGTTTGATTAGCAGCCTGTAGAAGTGTGCTGAGAAAATATACTGAATCTCAGTTATTTCCTCTTTCCACATAGGTCTCACCCATGTTTGAGTGAAAAGATCTAGGAGTCCAGCTTTGCTCTCCAACGTCAATTTACTATGTCAAATCTTTACGTCTTGTGATTCCACCATCTTGGCAAGTGTCTTCTTGATCCTCAAGGCAGTGAGCCTTGAGGCAGGATTATGAGCCCAGCATTCAGACATTAATTTCAATATTGCTCTTAAACACTGTAAAATAAAAAACAAAGGAACAGTATTGTAACTGACAGACCCGACAGGTGTATAATTTTGGTTTGCTGTCAAGCCCAAATTATAGAACTCTTAAGTCCAAATGTGCAACTTACATTTTCTGCAAAATTGCTGATAGAGAACTATTATAAACAGATCAACTAAAAAAAACCCACAAAAACAAAAAAACCAAACCAAACAACCACGTCCCAATCCTTCTTTTTCCTCCCCTTCACTGCCAAGTATTACAGTAGCTGGAACTAACTGAAGTGTTTCTTTAGTTTCACAAAGATGCATTACCAGAACTTATCATTACAACTCAAGAACAGCAGTAAAAACCAGTAGCAATAAGCAGAAAAATTTCCATATATATAGCAGAAAAACTGTAGAGAACTTTTTCACTGAAAATGAAGACGTGACAAAAGTTCTTTCAGCAGTCAAAAAATACTATGGAAAAAACTGGGAATTCCTAAAAGAAATCAAGGATTTGGGAAAGAACAGATATGGCATATCTAGCTTGCTATGTGAAATAGTTACGTCTTATTTACTGTGTTCAAGCTGTGGCCCTTTAAAAACACATTTAAATTTAATATTTTAGTTACATTCCAGGGCAAGCCATGATATACCAGTAAAAGAGAAAAAAAAGAAAAAAGATGAAATCTACAAACACAAAGAAATCGCTTCACATTCCATGAAATACCTTATGCAACAAACCAATATGCTATATACATTAAGACTAATAAAACCAATTAAAAACTCATTTAAATTTTAGCTCCAATCAAAACTGAAAAATATTCCACTATCTAAAAAGATCTCAAAGTAGTATTCGTACACTTGGATGCTGCTTAAGGGTATCTTCCCCTTAGATCACTGAAAAGATACATTAAAAATATGGTATTCTGAGTTGATTTCAAACATACCTTTCTCCTATTGTTGCTGTGAAGTTTTCAAAATACCAGAATGTCTGAATGTAGTCCCTATTTTACAATGTTTTAGTATTTATTAAAAAAGATCTCAAAGTAGTATTCGTACACTTGGATGCTGCTTAAGGGTATCTTCCCCTTAGATCACTGAAAAGATACATTAAAAATATGGTATTCTGAGTTGATTTCAAACATACCTTTCTCCTATTGTTGCTGTGAAGTTTTCAAAATACCAGAATGTCTGAATGTAGTCCCTATTTTACAATGTTTTAGTATTTATTAAACTAAAATACCCTTCCATATTAACGAACAAACTGAACTATTTTTCCTTTCAGCATACTCTATTAACGAACAAATTGAACTAATTTTTCCTTTCAGCATACTCACTTCATCACTATTCCATCTATTTGATACTACTGGGCGTAGGCGTTTGACACACACCACTTCTCTCATGTCCTCATAGGATGGATCATTTGGCACCATGTCATAATATGGCAACTGATACTCCTCAACAATACCTGTAGATAATTGTGAAAGATCAAGAACCATTAAAAAAAAATAATAAATCTATATATCTACTCTGAGATTTCCGTAGCCAGGAGCAAAAGTTAACTCAATTTTGTGCCAAGGCAAACCCACCACACTGTTATACTGTGATAAAAATCCAAGAATTTCACTATGACAATCAGGCATTTACCAGAACAGCTCCAATATTATGAATATTAAGTTTAATAGCTACAATAATTCCTTGCAGTCTCTTTGACATTGATACCCAACGTAGAATTTGACATCATCTAATCCACCACATGCTACAAAGAAACAGGGAGAAAGCGTAAGATAGAAGAAAAGAATACAAATAAAGATCTATAAAGTCACAAAAGAAGAGTGAAAGAAAAGGAAGGACGAGTCACAAAAATATGTGTAAGGAGAAAATTGAATGACACCAGAAATGCAAGAAAGTATAATAAAAGAATAATATCTTATCAATTACATTTTAAAAGTTTTATTAACAGAACAGGGGTGAAATACATCTGCATCCCACTATTTCTCCCAGACCAGGCAACTCTGCTTTTTGAGCAAGGAAAAAAAGCCCGAGATGCTTAATTGTAACAATCAAAAAGGTTTAGTTCAGTGATTTTCAAGCTGTACTCTGGACAGACTGTTATTACTGCTTTTAAAGAATGCAAGCCTGTTGATATAGCAGGCTTGTTATATTATTTGCTGGAGAAGTATTGGTAAAGTGAGACAAGGGGCCTGGTAGATTTTATACAAAATATTTAAAAGTTTACCTCCCGTGACGCAGCGCCGGGCCATTTCCCAGATGATCAGCCCAAAACTGTAGATGTCAGCCATGATGTATGGTTGGAAATGGTTTTTATTCAGGCTTTCATCTAGGACCTCTGGAGCCATGTAACGTTTTGTTCCCACTCTAGTATTCAAGGGAACGTCAACTTCATTTGTGTCACTGTATGAAAATATTAGGAAGTTCGTGAATTGTGGAATATTACAAGACATGGTATGAAATCCTGTATGATGCAATCACTACACTGCAAAGCTCCCATTTACAAATTAAATTCTTTTCTTTCCCTTTCAATACTACACTTACAATACATTATACCTCCCTGAAAAAGGTTATCTAGAAAAATGGTAGTAAGTATGGAAGTTGACAGGTTACTGCATCTTTTGCAAGACATTGAAAACATATGAAAAAATTGAATTAAAAACCACTATAAAGATGAGTATATTTGGCAACAACTCAGAAAATTATTTGCAAAGGCTTATGCTTTCTTTCAGGCTGTATTGTAGCAAAAGACAATTCTCTGGCTCTGTTGAACTTAAAAAAATTAAAGAAAAAGTTCAATAATAGTTTACCTCCCGTGACGCAGCGCCGGGCCATTTCCCAGATGATCAGCCCAAAACTGTAGATGTCAGCCATGATGTATGGTTGGAAATGGTTTTTATTCAGGCTTTCATCTAGGACCTCTGGAGCCATGTAACGTTTTGTTCCCACTCTAGTATTCAAGGGAACGTCAACTTCATTTGTGTCACTGTATGAAAATATTAGGAAGTTCGTGAATTGTGGAATATTACAAGACATGGTATGAAATCCTGTATGATGCAATCACTACACTGCAAAGCTCCCATTTACAAATTAAATTCTTTTCTTTCCCTTTCAATACTACACTTACAATACATTATACCTCCCTGAAAAAGGTTATCTAGAAAAATGGTAGTAAGTATGGAAGTTGACAGGTTACTGCATCTTTTGCAAGACATTGAAAACATATGAAAAAATTGAATTAAAAACCACTATAAAGATGAGTATATTTGGCAACAACTCAGAAAATTATTTGCAAAGGCTTATGCTTTCTTTCAGGCTGTATTGTAGCAAAAGACAATTCTCTGGCTCTGTTGAACTTAAAAAAATTAAAGAAAAAGTATTCAATAATACTCTTATAGTAGTACTTTTTCAATTAAGTTTCAACTCCGTTAACACTGTTCAAATTTTCTATGAGATAATGTATAATGAAACTACATGATAGCAATTACTATGAAAGGCCAGTTTTGAATAACGAATGAATTAGTCTCCTCTTCCTTTCCTCTACAAAACTATTTTTATTTTCCACAGCAAGAGTCTTTTCTTTGTTCTCTTAACAACCTATTTTCATCTCGATGCAATCAAAGGAAGAAGAGCATTTTACTCTCAAAACTGAAAAAAAATGAAAGCATGCAATCAAATGACTCCAACTTCCTTTTAAATTGGACATCTGGCACATTAAAAAAAAAAAAAAGTTTTCCCATTACAGAGGATTTGTTCATCTACCTGTTAAACTTGACTGCAAGACCCAAGTCAGCAATGCAGCAGGTTCCATTTTTCTTTATCAAGATGTTTTTACTCTTCAGGTCCCTGTGTGCTATAGCAGGCTTGCCTTGTGTCCCATAAATTTCTGTGTGTAGGTGGCACAGACCACATGCAGCAGAATACGCCAGTTTGAGGAGAGCCCTGTTGTCTAGCGTAGTGCATTTCAGAAAATCATACAATGATCCATTTTCATGATAATCTGTAATCAAGTACAGCTGTGTCCAGGAGCCAGTGCCTTTAATATCTGCAGCTATGAAACCTATGAAATATATAAACAAAGTTACAATTTATTTGTACATGATTTTTTTATGCAACAGGTTTAGTAAGAATTCCTAAAGCTGTATTGTCTTGGACTGTATCAGAAGATACCTGTTCCCGTTATGAAAACTAATAATGTAAAAGCTCAAATTTCAACTATACATGAGGTTACCATTCCAGTCCTCCAGCAAAGATATTGCAGACATGTTTCCAACCAAGAGCAGCAAGATTCTACCCTTTTAATAACATTTTATTAGCATACATTAAGGGACACCCATCTGGTTATTCCATAGAAGCCACCATATACCCCTCAAGCCACCCACTAAGAACTTCTCCTCCTTCACCCTCACACAAGCCCTCCAGTAGCCAAACAATGTACTGCTTCCTTACCAAGGATGTTTTCATGACGCATTAAAACAGTTTGGTAAATCTCTGTTTCTCGGAACCAACTGGCTTCTTCTGTGGTGAAAAACACTTTCACTGCGACTTTTTCACCCCTCCATTTGCCCATCCATACTTCACCATATCGTCCTTTTCCAACTTGCCTCACCATCTGAATTTGTTTGGCAATAGTGCGCTGAACCTAGGGAAGAAAAAAAAAAAATTAAAAAAAAAAAAAAAAGAGGGGAAGGTGGAGGAGGGAAACCCAGGAATTAACCAAAAGCACCTGGACAACCTGCTTCTCAAGCTTGCATTGCTTTGAATTTTGATCCTATTGTAAAATTTGCTCTATATTATTTTCCACTATTCCCATTTCAAACTCATTATTGCTGCCTCCAAGGAAGAACTGTATAACAAACCACAAAAGATTAAATCAGCTCAACTTCTTATTTAATTCAGATGCATTCTCTTGCATTCTATGTGTTTCTATTTTATAAATAGTCATCTGTCTCACTGGCTAATTTTTATGCAAGTATTATATAGGATGGTGAATCAAAAATTATGAACAACTATCAGCCAATAAAAAGCAAATCTATTTTATCCGACAGTGGACCATAAGAAAAAAAAAAATCTTTGAGTTCGCTCAATTCGATACTTGTATTATCTATTCATTGCATTTTTATCTTAATGTCTCTGGGCTCTAATTTTTCTTTAGATTTTGCTGATGCCAACAGATTTCCTAACATATAATCTAATTTTGCACTTCATTTTAGTTAATTATGTGAAGATGGGCTTTCGTACATGTTTAGTTTGTACTGTATCTTTCACAGTAATTGCATATAAAATAATTAACATACTATATGGATAAACTGCTTTGCTCTAGGCATTAGGTACAAACCAAACTTTGTATTTGATGGAGAGAAGTTCAGTGAAGAAAAATCTTAGTTTATGATTTACCAACAACGGTAGTCCTGATCCACTCCCAGAACTCTGTGACTGGTCAATAAGGTCTTTTAATGACTCCCCAGCTGGAATAAATGCTTCATCTTGTTCCAGGTCACGATTATAACAGTGCCTCTTTGCCATTGACTTACAGTAATGCCTGCAAAAGTAACAGGAGAAGTTAAGCTGAACTCCAAAACACTCTTCAAAATACGTAGTAAATTGAGCTAGGAAAAAAGCTATTTAAATGTACACGTTTTTGTAAAAGAAAACAAATAATCAGATTTTACTGTACTATTTTTTTCAGAAATGTAACTTACACTGTTTTTTAATATTCAGAAGTTGTTGTAATGCATGTAGAGGCACGTCAGTTTATTACGAGTCAGGTGGAAAACCAGCATTTTTAATACTCCGCTCACAGCCAGTGTTACTAGTATAACACCACTGGTTTTGGTTTAAACTAACAGACTGAACTTTGAACCATGGCAGATGAGGCTGACACATGCATATTTCTGCTGAAACTGCTAGAACAATGATGATCTCCAGCACAGGGCTGGAGCTGACAGAAGCAGGCATAGTCTCTTAAACAGCACATGCATGAATTGCCAGAGCTCAGCTGGTCAATTATTTAGTTTTGAAACACAGCAGAAAAAGGAAAAGTTATAAAACACATCCTTGTCGCTTTAGGTTTGCAAAAGCACTTTACAAAGGTAAATCTCAGAAGTAGATGGAATTTAACTATCAAAAGTGACTGAAGATCCAAAAACATAAAAAGCATTAAGATATTCCTGTTTACTGGATGCTATAGCATCAAAGTCATATGTAGCTTAGAAAACTGTAAACACTGTAGCCAGAGGAAAGGATCAAATTCAATTAAATTCTATGCTGTGAACATTTCATTTTATCTAGCAATGCAAACTGCTATCCACAGAAATGTGAAATTAAATTACAACAGTTTCACTTCCAATCTATTTTTGTCAGAAATACGTAAGATTAACTGAGTACATTTACAAAGTAACTGTTCTGTTTACACTCATTTGAGAAATTAAAAACCTTGCCAATAAAGAAACCACTTTGCTTACTTGTAACAAAAGCAGCTAAATAAGATGATCATGACAATTATGCAGACTGCCATAGAAATCAACACTGCCATCCAACGAATGCTGCCATCAAAAAGTCCATCTATTTTAAGAAAAAAAAAAAAGTAAAGTTTCCAAAGTCTATTAATTAAACATCTACTGTCAACAGTTTATTTAGGTATGATATTTTCATATACTGTGTATATGAATGTGCACAAACTGAAACACAGGAGGTTTTGTCTGAACATCAGGAAATACTTCTTTACTGTGAGGGCGATCAAGCACTGGCACAGGTTGCCCCAGGAAGCTGTGGAGTCTCCCTCCTTGGAGATATTCAAAAGCCGTCTGGACACGGTCCTGTGTAACTGGCTCTAGGTGGTCCTGCTTAAGCAGGGGTGTTGGACCAGATGACCTCCAGAGGTCCTGTCCAACCCTCAGCCAGTCTGTGATTCTGTGACAGTATGTGGAGCCACTTGCAAAACGTCAGAAAGGAGCAAGACAGCTGAGGCATATAAAATATCAGTTCATATGAAATTACATAAAATTCATAGTGTTTTAGTATCCAAGTAAGTATTTACACCAGAAAAGCAGAGATAATTTCATTTGGATGACAACAACAAAAAAAAAGGATTTAACTTGAGATTTTGGAGTTTTAGGTTTTGGTTGACTCTTGTTAGTTTGTTCTTAGAAATAGAAATGAAGAATTTACAGCAGTAAGATTCTGAGAAGATATTAAGCAACAGTCAAACCAGTATGACTTGTCTAGCAATGAATAAGTGCATGAAAATATAAACTATTTTCACTGGGAACAACAGAAAGAAGAAAATGAATTTACAGCAGATAACAGTTAACAATGTCAGAATACTTTTTTTAAGATACATTCATCATGGCAAAAGCACAACAGAGATTAAGAAAACCATTTTAAAAAGAAAAGAGAACAGGCTGTGGAAACAGAATAAAAACAGATCAAAAGATCACATGCAGATCAAAATATGAGTAAGAGAATAAAAATACCATGAGTGACTGATGGATGAAAAGATTAACTTGGAAGTGGCAGAAAAGGAAAACTGGAAATAGAGTATGAAGTGTAGTACAGAGCTTCATATCAAAATTACTTAGTAAGGAAAAAACAGATCTGTCCAATACTGTAATTACATGTTCTCCTTATTTTTACCTGTTGATCAGGAACAACAGCATCCACATAGCATTTATTAGTAGCAGTGTGAACATCTAGGAGCTGTTTACCTGTACTGTCAAGTGGTGGTAAAGTTGGTTGTAAATCCTGATTGCAGAAATCAGTCCGACAGCACTCAATTGTTCGACGTAACTGTGCTTTAGGTGAGTCCTGTTGAAGGAGAATTGAACAAACATTCAGATTTTGAAGTGATCAGCTAGGACAGAGACAGGTGATGCTACTGATACAACACTGCACAGACAAAAGTTTAAGCTATTTTATTTAAAAAAAAACAGTTCAACCTCACCATTTAATGTATGAGACAACTTCACAGTGGCAGACAAACATCAAATATCTTTGGGTGCATACATTCTATGTTCACTTTTTTTTTTCATGGAACTTTTTCACTTGGTACACAGAAACAGATGGTCCCTACTTAAGTTGCTTTTTCATACATTGCAAAATTTTTAAGCTTGGTCAAAAGCAGTTAATCGTATGTTAAATAAATACTGCTCTTAAGTCAACAGTGCTTCCAAAAAGCAGTGCTACTGACAGCTACATTATATAGAAACTCAAGTCCTAGAGATTTAAAATTGAGTATCCAAAACAGTG